TATCCAAGTTCAGTCTAATTGCTGTGTTCAACTCTGTTTTCTGCTACCATGTAGTCTAATGCCTGAACTAGGACAACTCCTAATTTTGCTACAAAACTTTCCAATGCTATGCAATCTACTTTTGTTTTTGTTTTGCTTTTAACTCCCCAGTGGCAAAAGTTTCATATTTCACCCAAGCACTGGTAATTAGCCAAGATGTCACATATTAAATATAAATAACCTATGACCTTGTGTGCAGATGCAAGCCCCTTTCCTGTATGACTGCTGAATTTAACTTTCTTCAACATAGGCTCTATACTGAAATATTATCTTTCTCCTACATAACACCATTCTGCTTGCGTAAACAATGGATGTGCCGTGTTAGCTGTAAGAGACATGAAGGCTGTGATAATTTTGTTTGTATGCCATTTGCAAATGAGTTTAAGAGTATTTAGTATACATTCACATTGATAAAAAAATTTCCCTTGCTGTACTCGTGCTTTCTTCAGTAGCAGCTGTAAAAGGCGTAACCACAGCTGCAGCCAAGGAACACTGTCTGCTCATTCCAGGAGCCTTTGTGCTTTCTCATCTGCCCTTTCTGTGCCACGCTGGTGTGTGTGCCTTCTAAAGAGGTCCAGATTCAACCACAAGCGGGAATGAGATCAAGCACATGAAATACAACCTTGTGCGTTCTATTCCTAATTCCAGGCTGTTTGGTTCATTGAATCATGCAGAACGAATGCCTGACCATGTGTCTTCCAAAGGCTATTCTGGCTACAATTGCACAGCTGGGTTTCATTTGCTGCCCATAGGAGGGGGGAGGAATCCCTATTACTCCAAGACAAATACAGATCTGGGATATGGCTGCAGATCCAGAATTCCTAGCTATCCAGTATAGGATGATGTGCAGAAAATAAAACAGAGCACAGGTTTTTGGACCCAAAAGTCACAACACACCTAGAAAATAGCCCCAGTTTGGAAAGGATTCAAATACCACAGGAAGCGTGTTCCTTCCTGCTCAAGGCACATGTAATAACTCCAGCTCCTGACCAGACCAAGGTGTATCCCCATCTGGATGCAATAACACAGCCTAAAAGCAGCAAAGGCAGAACCCAACTATACATATTAAATAAAGGAATAAATAAAAGCCCCCTTTCCTGGCAAAACCGCAAGTGAAATAAAGGTGCCCTTGTTACTGCCACCGTTTCATTTCTCAGTAGCAAACAAAAGCCAAATCAGGCGTCCATGCCCTGGACCTCAAGCATGGAGATTGACATAAGTCCCTGGAAATTGAGGTAAGCTCACTTCAGTCATTTTAGGGCTTCTGCTAACTCACTCTCAGTCACAACCCAATCACTCTTTAGCTGTATAGAAAAGGTTTGAAGGTGTATTTCTTTTTAAAATTTCAAATGCAGAAAGGATGCACTTTTTGGTGCAGTAGAACAGAGATGGCAAAATGAAAACTATGGTGAGGACTAGACAAAAAGAAAGGAGATTGTTGGCAAGAAATGGAAGTTCTGAACCCAAAGACGTGTCTGATTTTGAAGTAAAAAGCTTTAAAAAAATTACTGTAAATAACTATTAATTGCTTACAATGCCACCTTACCTTCTGCCTATTCTCTAAATTCTTATCTTGTTAGCTAGGTGGTCATGACATTACCAATTTCTCTGTTTTATTTTAGGACATATAGTCTGTTTTCTTTTTTAACTGACAGCAGTAGGTAGGACTAAAAGCACTGCCTAATTTTCTGCTTTCTGAATGAATAGTGTCTCAAACAGGGGAGACAAGATTTATTTTACAGTTAAGGGAAAGGAACAAGTCAACAGTATTAATATCTTTAATTCAGCATATTTATTAGAAATATACTCTGTGCATCTTATCAAAAAACATGGATCAAATATTTGTGTTCAAATTCCCCCTTATGAAGAGAACAAGTTTGATTGTATTTTTCACCAGGGACATGCATAATGAATAATCTACTGGTATAAAAGAACAGGAAATTGCTGTGGTTGCTCCATTTGCTGTAATCTGACACAACAATTATTTAACAAAAAGACGAATTCTAATACAGCTGCCTTGAAAAGCGAAAGATTAACAAAAAGTTTAGACAATAATTAGCTGCTAAAAGTCATTCTGTGTATAGTATATCTTACTGAATTGTTCATCGTAGATCTGTTTTCATTCAAGAATGTATGAGAGTATTTCTTAACCACAGTTAATCCAATTACACATTCTTTTCCAGCTTGTGTTGCTATGTGACCTTGGATTTAGAGATAAAAAGAGGCTACAGGCCAACTAGGTGTGAGCTTCATATAAGGTTCGGGCTTCCTTCAGAGAGAGAGTTGTCAACTCTAACGAGCATCAGTCTTTGGTTTAAGTATTCTAGGAACAGTAGCTGTAGTTGCTCATGTATTTTCGGTAAACAAATAGCTAGTGGTGTGTGGGAAGTGACAATAGCAAGGACAGTGCTTTAGCAGATCAAGTAAAAAACATATGGCTGCTTTTGCACTAGAAGCATTCTGCAAAGTATTTTTTAATATGATGCTTTACGTTTCCACTAGAATTGCCATGTCAAAAGTAGGTTTTCATTTAAGCTTGCTTTCTTCAGCACAGATTACTGATCTTCGTTAGGAGTGATAGAGAGATAGAATTCACTGTACTCTATTAAGAGCCTCTAGACTGAGAAATACTCACTGTAGCCAGTTCCTCTTCATGAAAGCCTTCTTTTCTCACCTTCATTCACAGGCTCTAACGAGAACATCTAGACACAAATGCATGCCTGGGATTATGACATGCCTATTTGGATCTGTCTAAACAGCAACAAACATGGAAAGACCCTGTGCATAGAAACAATTAGAATTAGTTATTTATGAAGCAAACAATATTAACCGATCATCACCATGGCTAGGCTTTGGGAAGGGCTCTACCCACGTTTGTTGCAAATATTAACCGATAAACCTATAATTTCCACATGGCCATAGAGTCACAACACACTGACTCTAGTTCAGTTGATTTTTCAACTAAGCAATGAAACCTTAGAGACAGCAATGCTATTTCTGGTTAGTATGAGTTTCACACTCCACAACAAATTAAACTGTAAAATTACATAACCGTCTATACTTGTAAGTAGTAGTTTAAATCCCATCAGTGCCCAAGTTTCAGCACAAACCTAAAATCTTCCTAGATCACGTATATTAAGGATTAATCTTTTACTAATTCCACAGCACACAGTGACCATTTCATTATGTTGGAATCACAGAATAGAATCACAGAATCATTTAGGTTGGAAAAGACCTCCAGGATCATCATGTCCAAGCTTTGACCGATCACCACCTTGACCATACACCAAGCGCCACATCCAGTCATTTCCTGAACACCTCCAGGGATGGTGACTCCACCACCTCCCTGGGCAGCCCCTTTCAATGCTTGACAACCCTTTCCATGAAGAGGTGCGGCTTAAGGCTGTGACCTCGTCCTGTCACTGATTGCTAGGGAGAATACCCCAACCCCCACCTGGCTACAACCTACTTTCAGGTAGTTGTAGAGAGTGATAAGGTCTACCCTGAGCCTCCGTTTCTCCAGGCTGAACAACCTCAGCTCCCTCAGCTGCTTCTCACAGGACTTGTGCTCTAGACCCTTCACCAGCTCCATTGTCCTTCTCTGGACACACTCCGGCAGCTCAATGTCTTTCTTGAAGTGAGGGGCCCAGAACTGGACACAGGACTCAAGTACTCATATTAAGCTCCTCTGAAGTTGCTCTACACTTTGTTAGACTGCAAATTCCAAACACATCAGGCCATCTATGATTTCTACACTGCCATGCCCTGCAGGGGATAGATGCTTCTGCTGCAAGAACAACTTAAATTCTACAGTTTCTTTTGCCCTTTTATTTGACTTTCAACCTTAATGCAAGGCTAACCCATAGATGGTATGTTATTGTGCAGGCAGAGTATACTGAAGCTTCTGTGCTCTTACTAGTGACTGCCCCTAGCTCCCTTTATTCATGGCATACATTGCTGAAGAGTAGCTTAATTTGTATCCTGTTGGTTAAAAACTTTTAGATGCAGATCTCGCAAAATGCAAGACTGTGAAGACACCTTTCCATGCTTTAAAATTGCCCACAGTTCCACAGCCTTGGTGCAGCAGCTGCGGTGACCAGAAAGTGAAGTGCATAAGAAACTGCCACAGTGCAAGCCAGGGTGGTTGTTGGGCACTGGAAGAGGCTCCCCAGGGTCACAGCACCAAACCTGCCAGAGTTCAAGGAGCATTTGGACAAGGCTGTCAGGGACACGGTGGGATTGCTGGGGTGCCCTGTACAAGACCAGGAGTTGTACTCGATGGTCCTGCTGGATCCCTTCAAGCTCTGGATAGTCTGTGATTCTATGTTTGCTCCATTGCTCCTGTTCCCACTGAGCCAGAAGGCGAGTGGCTGACAGAGTCCTGCAGCCAGCGCTTGTTACCCAAGCGACATTCCTCTGCTTACGTCAAGCTACTTAATTACTTGAGCCATTAATTAGTGTCAAGAGCACCATCTATTTACATGCGGTGTTTTAGAAGATAACGTGAGATCCGCACGCCGCGAGGGATTCTGCTCCTTCACAGGCGGCCGTTTGCGCTTTGCAGGAGGGTTCACGCAGGGACTCCTCAGCGCCCGCCTCCACGGTACCGGGAACAGGATCGGGAACAGGACCGGGAACAGGGCCGTGCGGGGATCGGGCCCGGCGGGGGCGACACGTGGCACCGCGCCCCGTGCGCGGCCCCGCCCCCCGCACGCAGCTGGCCGCCCGGGATTGGCCACCGGCAGCCAACTACAACCCCCGGCAGCCCCCGCGGCGCGGGGGGCGGGCCCAGGCGGGCTCCTCGCGCCACATGACCGGCGGCGGCGCGGCCCCTCCTTCCTCCCTCCCAGGACCGCTGGCGGTCACGGGGCGCTGTCGGTGGCGCGACGTCACCGCGGGCGGGGCGGGCAGAGGGAGGGAGGGCCGGCTCGGGGGGCGCTGCCCGGGGCGAGGCGCGGGGGCGGGACCAGCCGCGGCCCGGAGTTACGCGCCCGCCCCCCCCGAGTGACAGAAGCGCCCGGGCACCGGAGCCGCAGCCGCCGCTCGCGCCGCCGCCCCTCACCCCCGCTCCGGCCCCTCCGGTGTTATGCGGCGGCCCTGAGGGGCGAGCGCAGCCCGGCAGGACCCGGCGCGGCCCTGAGGGGCGACGGGGTCTCGCCGCGCCTCGCCGGCCAAACCCATGACTACGGCAAACTGCGGCGCCACCGACGAGTTCGACTTCAGGCTGATCTTCGGCGAGGACGGGCAGCCCGGCCCCGGGCCGCCGCTAGGGCCCGCAGGTGCGCCCCGGGGCCGGGGTGCGGGTCGGGCGGGTTCCTGTTTTGCTCCGAGCGAGGCGGGGAGGGGAGCGGGGGCCGCGGGAGGCGGGAGCCCGGGGGCAGTGGCGCTGGCCGTGCCTCCCTCCCTCAGGCCGCGGCCGCTGTCCGGCGCCGCTCCCGGCCCTCCCTCGGCCCGCGGGGGCTCGGGGGGCGGCGGGCCGGGCCGACCGGGCCTCTCCCCGCCGTCTGAGTTTCTTTGGGAAAAGAAACCCAAGAGCTCGCGTCGTGCGGGAGGAGCCGCCCGGGAGATAAAGGGAAAAGGCCCTGGGTTGGATGCGGTGGCCCCGCACCCGCTGAGCCCGGGGAGCGCGGGGGGGTCCCGGGAGCGGCGAAGTGTTAACGGGGCTGGACCGGAGACATGTTCAGGCGCATGCGACGAAAAGTTTCCACCGAAGTGTTTCCCGTCTATAGAACATCACAGTTACTCCAGTGTGTTCCTACAGACTTTATATACGTGTGGATGGGCAAAACACGGCGTGTCGGGATGCTCGGAGTGCTTCCATTTTAGTCTGTTTTGTAGTATTGCAGCCTGAAAATGCTGTTTAAAAAAACCTCGTATTTCTTTAAACTGCAAAAAGTAAAGTATTCCCTGTGAATTATGGTGTGAAGAATCAATAAGGGCCAGCTGTGCAGTGCGTGGCTGTACCAGAGTTTGATGGCTGCATGCTTTACTTTCTAACCCACTTGAAATAAGTATTAGTTGCTAAAGGGCTGTTTTATGTGTAAGTGTTAGATGATGAGATAGTTCTGAAACACGACTGTATCCAGGCTAAATGATGCAGCCATGTTGTTTAGTTCTCTGACTCGGTTGTCTAAGTTGATTAGAAGAAAATTTGTTTGATACAGCTGTGTGTGAACACTTGGGATTAACTTCTTATAAAATCCCTGACTTTCTTGATGCTCAGATTTAGTTTGCAGATTCGTTCAGATAAGGGAAGATTTTCTTTGCATATTTTCCGTCTTAGTGGAGTAGCAGATGGTGCTTTTTGGGAAGGGGGCCTGCATTCTGCTAGCCTGATAAATGCATTACAGTATTATATGAAAACAATGGAAAACATGTAAACAAATTACAACAAAAATAATTATGACATCCCCGTTTCTATTATTTTGACATAAAACTGGTAGTCTAAACTATGTTCCTTTGTTAGCGGTAGGTGAGAATGAGAGAACAAGTTGCTCAGAAAACTGGAAATACTAGTGTGGTATCAATTGACTCTTATGATATTTGTAGTTTGGTAGCATTCCTTAACAAGCAATTCAGTTGTTACACTGAATATAGAGAATTTTGCATGCTTAATAAGTTACAGCTATTCTTACATTAATTTTGAAAATACAGTATTTGGACCATGAATTAGTTTGTTTGCTGTAGCTTTCAGTAAGAAATCCTGCATCTGCATCTGACACTCAAACAATTTTACTGTTTTGTTTAATACTGGAGATGATCTCGCCTGCTGTGCAGAGATGTGGCCTTTGGGGGAAAGGGTTAGAGTAAGTGTCTGCTTTCATGTATTCTATTAAAATTATTGCCAGAGCTCATCTCTTAATTCTGCACAGGTATTCTACATATGATGAACTAGAATTCATTTGAGAGGGCCCATATTGGAAACCTTATTTTTTCCCTTACCCCTTTTCCAAATATATTAGTTAGAGGAACAAAAAAAAAGTTCCTAGAGCTCCCTAAAGCATGTATTTCACAATCTCTTATCACTTGCTTCAGTGGTGGTGTCTGTTGTGCTGCAAAGTGAGCAGAAGGGTAATTTTTTTCAAATGTATGCTAATAATAAAACATATACATCACAGGGAAAGTTGCTTAAATTTGAAATAAATAATATTAAAATTACTAAGTCTTCCATGATCATGGAGAACACCTGAAAACACTTTCTGATGCTTCACGCTGTATCTCTAGAAGTTTGAGACTGGCATTTCGGATGAAAGAAGTGTCTGGTACTGAGTTCTTGCATAAATAACACGGAAATCTCTGTTAATGCTCTCTTTTATGCTGGGACTACTGTAGTGTTGTGAGGATTTTATTCTTTTATATATGTACATGTATAAATATTTATGTAAACATGTTTTATATTTAACCGTATCTTTAATCAAAAGAAGAAAAGGTGAACTCTTCTTTCATTTGCTTTAAATACTTTTGATTCCTGAACTACTAAGAAAACACTACTCCCAGGTACTAGATTACCCTTTTTATGACACTAAAAGAACAGTAAGAGAAATTAAATCAACTGGGATTGTGAGTTATTACACAAAACAATTTCAGTGGGTTGCAGGATAGTACGACTAACATACGTAGTTTTGTGCTAAGTGGCACGAATCGATCCTTCCGTTCTGCAGTAGTGCTTGTTTGCTTGCTCTGAAAGCTGTGGTTCCTGCTGCAGAGGAGAATGCATGAAAGATGGTTTGGCCATGCTTGAAGCCACTAGTCTAATACTGCAATTTTTGCAGCATACTCGGCTTGAAAGTGGCAGCCCATTTCAGATAGCTTGTGAGCAGATGTAAAAATTTGCTCAGGTGGTTGCTAAATAAGAGATTCTCAAAAGCTCTTCAGCTGCTTTTAAGTGGATGTTAGGTACTGAGCACCTTCTGCAAAATCTTGCTCTCTGTTTCTCTGAGAGTTTGGTGTCCTTGTCCTAAAGAATAAAGACATTGTCATTTCAGTTTTGTAGTGTTTGGCACTCAAAAGAGGCTGTACAGTTCTAGGTACTAATGAGCTTCATCTTTTTCTGACCAAAATATTCAAGCCTCCAGTGCCCAAAGGTAATGCTGTAGAGCACTCTGAAGTGAACCAAATCTCTGTTGCAAAACTGTTTGGGTCACTGCGGTAGCATCTGATTGCCTCGTGCCACCTTATATCAGTTGCATTTGAAATGTCCCTGTCAGCATGTGAGTTACAGTATCATTCAGGTCCTGTACGGGCTGCTACAAGAGATTGTCCTAAAACTCAATCAGTTGTGGTATTTGAGGTGCCACCTTGTTTGGTCTTTCTGATGAAGAGATTTTTGAGATGTAATCTGTGACACTTGAATAATTGAATTTAGCTTTAATGCTTTTCTAATGATGCCACCATTCTCTTCACCACCACCACCCCCCACACATAGTTTTGCAATACTATTCAGGATAATTTTGGGAAGTCTGCCTCAAATTTATTAAGCAACGAAGCTGCATTAAGATTTTCACACTACTGGGGATGTGTTATACTGTTTAAATGCCAACTGTGCAAAAGGGAAGCAACTACGAGTTGCTATGATAGCTTCTTTATGTGAAGTTTTATTTTAAGGGTTCATCTTCTCTTTTAAAGAATGAGTTTTTACAAGGTAAGAGCCACACTTGGGATATGTAGTGCTAAGCTGGGAACTCTGGATCTTGTAAGGTTCTGTATAATGCAAAGTCATTTCTTGTTGGTATGTGAAATCAGGACTAAGTAAAAATGAGGCTGCAAACTGTTCAATATCCAGAAAATCAGTTATTTAATTATGTAGGAAATTCTGACAGATGAGTTATTGGTACTGCTGTTTAGAATCCTGTCTCAAATGTTCCTGTTATTTCTGATGAAGAATTTTAGGAGCAAAAGAGGGGCTAATGTTTTGTTACCCAGTGAAACATAGTAATACGTGAATTTCACCGCAATTTCCACCTTTTGTTCTTGGGTTATGAAGTAGAAGAGGAGAAATTAATATTTCAATATAAGTAATCATCTTTGGTTAATTTTGTTTATTTGCTTTCCCACGATATAAGTCCTTTAAAAGAACTAATAAGAGTACCCTCCTTGGACTTCAGGTTCACAGTATTTGTTTTATTTTCTTGGAAGCCTTGAAACGAGCTGAAAAGAGATTCTCTGTATTTCCTGTGACTTAACATTTGGTTAAGTAATACTGTTTAGTAATGTTGCTGCAAATGAATCTCACAATCTATCTTACTTTTCTTCTGAAAAGTATGAAAAATATCCCAGTTGCGTGGTGAATTTAGTGACATTTCCAAAACATCTTTGGAACTGGAACCTCACTCTGGCTATGGACAATATATCTGGATTTTTATCTTCTGTTAATTTGAAAACTTCTGCTCGTTCTCCTTTGAGATTTTTTTCCTCTAGCTTAAAGATATTAGGTTATTGGTTTGTTACTGGATATCATGGTTGACATACACATTTTGCTACAGTGACTGTCAGAGTAATACCTGATCTTTTCTTCTGAAGGTTTTTGTGTCAAACCTTTCTCTGTGAGCATCCGTGAGCTGCTTAGGCTGCTCAGCAGTTGCCTCCTGCCTGTGTTTAAGTGCTCTGAAGCAATGATGGGCACTGAATTTTGCCTCAGCTAGGCAGAGTTCTCTGTAGCAAAAACTGGCACTATGTATGTAATTTAATTTAGATATATAGGAGAAGTCTTAAAACCACTGATTTGTAATGAAACACCACCACAATACTAGTCTTTATAGCTTTGCCTTGATCATGAATATGTAGAGTATTCTTCTTCCCTTCTTAAATGTGTATTCATGACTGGTGTTGCTGTCAGGGATTGTTGGTAGATAGTAAAAAACAGCTGAAGCTGTTTACAGAAGTTTGTTTGCAGCATGCTTGAACTTTTTGTTCTTTTCCTCAAGATGGTGATTAAGGTAAACAATACTAAGAAAGTCAAGTTGTGGTAGAAAAGAGAGTAGTCTTATAATTAGACTGAGTGGAAAATTAACAGCTGGATGCTGCAATAACTGTGAACTTGAGGTGTGAGTTGACTGAGGATTGCTCTTGGTGAAGTTAATTTTTGTGTTCACATACTTCTGCTGCAAAGTTTGCTTTCCTTAGCTGAGTGGGAGGAACTTGTGAGACATCTTTTGAAGTCTTTTTAACAGCCTGTTTTGCACACCTGTATGGTTCACTTAAAGTGAACTTTTTAAAAAATATTTTGATTCTGCTTAGATTTGATTGCCTATACGAATGGGTAGGAGAGAAAGTCTTTGCA